CCCACTACCAATTTCCCTTATGACGAGGTGGGTGGTGCCAGTTCACGATTGGTTAAGGCTTAAGTTATTTTCCGCTCTCTTCTACTAAAGGTCGCCTACCGCGAACGTCTACGCAACTCATTTTTTCGTTTAGTTTCTTTCCTCATAATCACAATCACAAACGGGCTTCCTTCTACACTTCGGATCCTTTGTCATTCCATCCTCGGGAAGCCATGTTGCATAAGCAACTTTTATGAACGTAAGAACGGTTCAAAAACCAAGTGATTCACGGATCGAGTTTGATCTGAAACATTGAGCAAATCCGTCGACACTTCTACCTTGCTCAGCAAACGCGTTAATGATTATTCTTGCGAAAGATTTTATTCTCGCATGAAACAATCTATTGCATTTTTCACAGAACTTATTTGACTCTTTTCTTCCAGTTCCAAAGGGCCTCTTTTAAAAGTCTCTAAAAATCAGCATTTTACATCACCCCCTAATGTCGCAACGATCGTGAAACGCCTTCTAAAACGGATTTCACTTCGTTCATCACCAATGACCGTTTCTAACAGTACTCCAAGGACCCCCTTGTAGATTCTGCCCTTTTTCATCCTTGTCAACGATCTACTTGTGGCGCATCTCATCTATTAAACATGCTACCTCATATTCTTGTTTTCTGCATCTCAGTCAATGCATGCCATCACCGCAGGGACCAAAGTACTCTAAGGAGGAAAGAACCGGTCTGAAAACCATGACCATCATAGTCACAGGGGACACACCTGCAAGAAGCACACTACGGCTAATAATTCTGACAGACACGTTGTCGGTATTTATTAAATCAAAAGTAGAAACCGTGAAATTTTATTCTTATCATGCCAGCAGAATTTCTCAGGCTATGTTTTCGCTTTAGTACTTGCTCATTCGCTGCGAAACCTCTAGTTTACACTGACACATGCGTGATTAATAAATCACCCGTATAATTGGCGTAATCGCTCGACCTGATAACTACGTGTTGTTCGTTGTGCGTGAAGAAAGGAACTTTAAGTCGTATCTTGAAACTCATATAATTACGCAAGATCGCCTTAACGCTTTATTCCTCAGTTTTATGAGGTTTCGCTCAGGAGTAGTCGATCAGAGGGATCGTTTGTTTGATGAACCTGATTTCAAGGTTTTTCGGTAACTTCTTTTTGACTTCTCCTTTGTAAAGTCAAGAAGCATTACATTTCTTGCTGCAGTAATCAAATTTTTTATAAATCCGTCTAAAGTCACCGTCAGCTAGATTATCATAAACAGGAGTTGGAATAATACTTTTGAGAGTAGATAGTTATACTGAAAAACTGGCATAAAACACGGTTTACCTACATACAACTCAAAAGACATGGTGGTCAGTTCAATGACTGATCAATACTGACGTTTTGGCCCCTGCTAAGCTAGAGAAGATGGATGATCGCGGACGGACCTGAGCGACAAGTAGTAGCGAAGTTCCTAGAACGAAAACAAAGTCTCATTCCCAATGCAGTCAAGGAAAGCGAGAAGAAGACCTCCGGGATTGTGCAGAATGCGGCCAAGCAAGAACACACGCCCGATTGTCTGAGTGTAGCGGCATCATCAAAGAGAGACATTGGCCACACCGGCGGATAAAGGAGGCATTAGTCATCCAATCGTGTGAAAACGCTAATTGTGACAAAGGATACGAACTCTGCACGAATTCGATGAGTTTTGTCCTGTCGCCTAAAAACTGTTTAACCAGCATCACGGGCCGAAAACTTGCCTTCTGGTTTCGAAGCCATCAATTAATGCGGACGACCAACCACGTTCACTTTTCACCCATGAGACAAGGGCCGAAACGTCGATATTGGTCAGTCACTGGGCGAGCAACAGTACCTTTAGCGTTGTGCATAAGTAAACACTATTTTTTTCATGAGCAGAGTTGCACCATATGCCTGAGTGAGGTTGTTCGAAGTTAAGTAAAAATGTATGAATCTACTAAGCTATTATACTGCATAAAACAGAAAATAACCTGTTTATTTTCATCCCCATAATTATTCCTTTTTCCTTTCCTTTTCTTCCTCACGCCGCTATCAGGAGCATTATCAGAATTATCACTGTTATCATCAGAATCATGAGCAGATTACTGCTAGCATTCGATTTCTTCCACTAAAAAATTGTAGTCCTCGCGAACGGATCCACACTCAATGAACCGCAACGAGCAGGCTCTTTCGCCCCTATGGCCCCCAATTGTATTTCGGATGCCCAAGAATGGCAGTGGTGTGACTCCATTGCGAGCATTATGAAACTTGGGCACGGCGCTACGGTCAGAAACTTTTACTGGTAGCCTCACTGCATGGTTCGACTGAGGGTTGTGCTGCGGCTCTTGATATTTGGTGGTACGTTGATGGAAAGTGTTTTCCTGACTTTGCGACAATTATGTTGGAAAGAGTCATGGTACTCGATGAAGTGGTATGACCTCTAAGCTCTCATGTGGAAGTGCTTGAGGCTATCGACCTTCATCTTTTACAAGAATTATGTCTTGGCTCCATGCGACAACAATAACAGAATACTGTTCACTAGGTTCTTATTTCGGTGCCCTGCGACGTGTTGCTATTGCCAGAGGTGATACATTCGCCATCATCTTCCGGTTCAGAAAGACAGCATCTGGACTCCTTACGAAAAACACTCACCCGCTGCATGTGCACTTTGAGGCAAACCTCAGTTGGCCTTGCCACATGGTCAAATAGGGGCCAGCGATCTGCTAATTACACTGAACCTTTTCGACTTGACTGATCAGTGTTTGTAGACCTCCTTTGGAAAATGTTGTTGATGGCATCTAATTTCGTTGTTGAGCCTGCGACACCAGCTTTCTTCCCTCTTCCCACTCGGTTATTCGGATATCAGATGGAACAAAAGCCTGCCTTCTACGTCCAGTAAGGACATAACCTTGAATGAAAATCCAACAGTCCCTAGGCGAACACATTCTGATGATTATACGTATAAAGCTGTTGTCTGTCTCCTCTAAGAATCTCACTTAAAGTGAGGAAAAGGTGCCTCGGTTCTTTAAGCCATGAAAGTGTAACTAACTACACATTCTGAACCACAAACAAAATTGCAAATCCATACAGTTATTGAGTAAACGACCTGATGAGGCAATTGCCGATGCACATAAAACCCCTAATATTGAGTGGTAGCTACCATACTGTATGCAGCTTTCAAATTCCGCCGGTGATCATAAAGGTTTCAATTTCCATACCATATTTATTCAGCCTATTCGCATCGTCTGCTTGCTTCTAGTCGTCAAGGGGGGGGCATTTAAGTAGGTCTTAACTTCGTGGTATTTGAGCACCTGGCACCTGCAGTGCACCGGTGAGGGACCGCATCTCTGAGCTGGGCACAGCAAGAATGCGTTCGTTCGAACACTAACTGAATGAATCTACAACTATACGTAGGCAGACTTAGAGACAAAATATTGCCTTAATATCCTGGAGTAGCGATCACATAGTAGTTTTCAATATCCGCCAGCAACGAGTATATCCGATGCCAGAAATGGATATGAAAATGGCTATACATTATGATTTCTTACGCAGTTTCATTATCCAAGTTGTTTGCGTGTATTCAGGATACGTTCTACTTCTGTCGTACGGCCGAGGTGACTGGCAACATTAAGTAAAGAGAGTTCGGGTTCTCAGGCGGTTGATGACCTCCGGGAATATAGCCGATATGAACTGTTCTTCTACTGCATTTTCAATTAAATTCACAAAT